CACACACACACACACACACACACACACACACACACACACACTATTTTTAGAAACATTGAGAGGAATTTATGTAAATAACTATTAGGCTAAAACAAAAGCAGCATGGACATAATTCAATTTAGATAAATACATTGAACTTTTAAAATTTAGTATGTACTAATTCTTACAGTTTTCTGAAGACTTTATGTTAGCTCTTCATACAATTGCTTTCATTACCTAACTAAACGGTCATCACATCAATAGCCCTTTCATTTCATAATTTCTAGAAACAGGTGTTGTGCTAGTTTAGGAAAACCTGCAATGCATGAAGCCATGACACTCGAAATATCACTTCCTGGAATGACAGGGCCCTCGGGAATAGTTCGTTCCTATGATCTCAATACCTATAATTCAAATGCTTCCCTGACTGGTTGGTTTATTTGTTTGCCGTTGGCAGGGGCTCCTGATTGCAGGCACTGAGGAACAGAAGAAAAAGTATCTACCTAAACTGGCCTCTGGAGAGCACATTGCAGCATTTTGCCTCACAGAACCAGGAAGGTAGCATTTTTTTAAACAAAATCATTAAAAAACTAAATTTATCTACATATGAGATTGATCCCCGCTGGGAAAAATTTCCAATCAAGAACTGGCTGCAGCGGCCCTCTTCTTCCAGGGTGGCGCCATAAGAGGCCAAGAGATGCAAGAAAAAGTGGGGCGCTGCCATGAGGCAAGGGAGTGGTTGGAGCATGGATGGCCTGACTGCATCGCTGGCCTCCTGCGCTGGTACCACATTGGTGCCAGAAGCAGTGCACCAGCCGCCATGTGGACTCCTGCTTAACGTGGCTGCCGGTGCTGCTGCCATGAAGCAGTTGTTGGGGTGTGGAACCATGGGGGTCCTGAAGCAAGCCATTGTGTGCATCAGGCAGCTTTCCCCCCTCTACCTCACAGCAGCAGCACTAAACAAAGTAAGACACCGCCCAAAAATAAGCCCTAATGTTTATTTTGGGCCTAAAAGAAAATAAGACCGGGTCTTATTTTTAGGGAAACACAGTAAGTCACTTTTTTCAGTGTCCTTATAACCTTAAACGGTCACTAAACAAACTCTTGTAAGTGGAGGACTATCTGTAATTCTTCCTGTGTTTTTAATCTGTTCTTTGAATCTGAATGAACCATGTCTGTATAAGTAATTACATTTTTCTTACTGGAATTGCTCCAACATGAGAAACATTTGAGAGAGAAGCCAGGGGGCATGCACATGATTATTGTGCCTTTTAAATGGGAAGACTGACTTATACTTAGTTTGAAAGGGGGAAAAAAGACTAGACAGGTTCGGGAAGCAGGCTCTGCTGGAATCATGAGGGTGAGGCTAAACAGAAGCTCCTTGCTTGTCGAATGATAAAAGCAAGAGCCTGAAAGGGAAACAGGAGAAATGTTGCCGCCCTGCATCTCCTCCAGGGGAGCTAATGGTCTCTTCCCCATGTCAGTTTCTCCAAAACTAGCTGATAGATGATCCGGAAAGTTTATAAGCTGCTTTTTATTGCAAATGGCCAGGACAGTCACAAAGGCATATTACAAGCCCACATTACAGAGCAAGGCATAGGGAGTTTGCAATGAATGCAGGCCACCATGTCCCATTCTGAGAAACCCCCTCATGTGAGTTATGAAGTCCTGACAACAAATTCCAGGGAGCAAAGCTGGCTAGTTTTCTTCTGTGGGTGGAAGCATCAGGCAAGGTGGAGAAGCTGTTGCCACTTATGCTGCATGACCATCTTTCGGTACAGATTTGTTTGCCTGTCTTTCTAGTGGGTGTACGCTGCTTTAAGCAAACATTAGGTTCCCATTTGTTGTTACACAAAGGAGCAATTTAAGAACCATTTTAAGAAATTATTTTAAATGTTTGGAAGCATAATAATACGTAGCCTTTTCAGATTTAGATTTCTCTGGGGAAGGAAAGGATTTTGAGTTCAGTAGCTAGCAAATCCCATTTTCCTAATTTACCTGTATTTCAGTGGAAGTGACGCTGCATCCATTCAGACCAGAGCCACTTTGAGTGAAGATGAAAAGCATTACCTATTAAATGGTTCAAAGGTACAGAACGGGCTATTTTGTCAATGTCAATTTAACCAATTTCTAAAGAGAAAGCTAGCTGGATGAGATCAGCCTTTTTACAAAAAAAGTGAGCTGCACAAACACTAAAATAACCTAATAAGAAAGCAAGTGCTTTTTCCAAAGGGGCTTTTCTTTTGTGTGATCTTTAAAAAGGATTCATTTCCCAGAGTTGAATCCAGTTTGTCAGATCTGTATTCACCCTTAGGTGATTATTTCAGAAAGCATGCTATGGATGAATACTAAAGATACAACATCTGCCAATCAGTTCATACATATTTAGTGTAGTAATGTTCATGTTTCTTCTGAGTGGAACATAAAATATGTTCTTTTCTTTCAATTGCAGATATGGATATCCAATGGTGGTATTGCAGATATCTTTACTGTGTTCGCAAAAACTGAGGTTGTTGATAAAGATGGTGAATTCAGAGACAAAATTACTGCTTTTCTTGTAGAAAGAGCTTTTGGTGGAATCACTAATGGAAAAGCAGAGGATAAGCTGGGGATACGTGGATCTAATAGTAAGAATTATATTCACATTATTGTGGAATTTACAAGTGCAAATTGTTTACTAAACCTCAAAAGCAATTCCAATGCTTTTGTCAACAACTTTTTCTAAAACGTCTTGGGCATTTTTTTTAATTGGCAAAGAAGTATTCATAGGCATATATTTTCTGAAAAATTTTAGTTGCATGATCGCATTCACCATTTTTTACTTCATATCTGCATTTAGAATAGTTTATTATTTTAGAAGTAAAATGCCACTGTCATTATCCTCTTCTGTAAACTGTATCCTTCATTAACTGAAGTTAGTGGTAGATGGTGGAATTTCATATGCCATTTATTTTTATCTGCTTTTGTGATCATTGTCCTGCTGAAAATAACATTGTATCAGAAACTCAATGTAATTCACGATTTGTGCAATTATACCTACTATTGAAGGGATGCAATGGCTCAGTGACTAAGACGCTGAGCTTGTCGATCAGAAGTTTGGCAGTTCGAATCCCTAGCACCACGTAATGGAGTGAGCTCCCATTACCTAGCAGTTTGAAAGCATGTGAAAAAAGTAGAAAAATAGGAACTGCCTTTGGTGGAAGGTAACAGCATTCTGTGCACCTTCCGCATTTAGTCATGCCAGCCACATGACCACGGAGATGTCTTTGGACAGCAGTGGCTCTTCGGCTTTGAAACGGAGATGAGCAATGATCCCTAGAGTCGGGAACGACTAGCACATATATATGAGGGGAACCTTTAACTTTACCTTTACCTACTATTGAGAATAAGCATGATAGGAAATGGACTTTTTTGTAGCATTCATTCTACACAAATAATGTTCAGAACAACTAATTTGACACCACCTCTTAGCACACTTTGTATCAATTTATTATTCTAGAAAAGCAGGGGTCATCTTTTTTCATAGTAACTATGTTAATATGTAATGTAATCTAAAATATTACATTATAATTCTTTAAAAAGCACATTTTGATAAAGGAATTAGTCCTGAACACAGGATACAGCATCTGGTGTCATAGAATTGCACACACACAACTCTTCTCATTATCTCAATCCTTTTATATCTAGTATTCACCTCATTGAGAACCCACGTCTAATTGGAATTTTCAAATATAATTGTCCTGCTGGCAACAGCCATAGGTTATGTCTAAATTGTAAAATGGGAAGTGTTGGAAATTAGAATAGTGAGCTCCATAATTAGTCTTGGGCCTCACTCCCAGTCTTGAAATCTTCGTCAAGTCTTTTGATTTAATTGCGTTTATGTGTTCAAGGATATTGCAAAATGTTGAATACTTTTTAATCTTACAGCTTGTGAAGTTCACTTTGAAAATACAAAAGTTCCTATAGAGAATGTTATTGGAGAAGTTGGAGGAGGGTTTAAGGTAAGATGTAGAGATAATGTTGTACATTTCATTGTGACCTAATTAGAGAATGAATTTCATAAGGTAGAATGATCAATTGTCCAAAATTCCAGGTAAACGAATAACGTTGACTTTTGGTTTTCAATAAAAGGGAACTATGAGAGAAAAACTTTTCCTTTCCTGTGTGCATTTCAGGTTGCAATGAATATTCTAAACAGTGGAAGATTTAGCATGGGCAGTGCTTCTGCTGGAATGCTTAAGAAACTGATTGGTAAGGCTAAGCTTCTGGATTGCCAAGTTCTTGTGTTAGGACCTTTTGTGCAAAGATTACTGCCCTATCCTTATAAATATTAGTTTGGGTTATTAATCTCTTTGACATAGTAGTTTCTTTAGGAATTACATGCTGATCTTTATGTTGATCTCAGTTGAGATTTTTATTCATTAGTGCAGCAAGTTACAATGTTGAGAAAGGTGTTAGCTAGAAAGAAAGTTTGTGATACCTTTGTAGGCTAGGTAAACCCTGGGGTGTTAAGGTGATGTTTTAAGGGAATTGTGGTTTGGAAACATTGTCTAAATTTTTTCAGAATGTCCTGATACATGCTGCTTGTACGTGTAATTTTTAAAATCACAAAGTTTAATGGAGGGGAAACAAGTTTGTGTTGTGCTATAGTGATTCATAAATACCTATCACTTAAGGACTTGAAACAATTATCTGCTTTTTATTCAATATTCTGGAAATTATTTCCTAAGATGATTAGACAGGGTTTTTTGGGTATAGAGCACACATTATATTACAAATTTTATGTGTCCTGAGCTCAAAAATAGTATTATTTGTTTACTTACTTCATACAACTGTTTGGAAGAAAAATATGTGCAAGCCATTGAAAACCTTTTTTATTTTAACTGAGATAAATATGAATGTTTAAAATGAGCTTTGCCTTTAAATATCCTGAAATTCATAGCATTCTTTTTTGTATTTGAAATAAATGTTACATGAAATCATTAAGACAATGTGGTAATATTTCACATCAGTAAAATTATGCAACTACTATCAGTGATCTCAATACAAATGTTTAAATATAAAAATTGACACTGCATTGATGGTGCCACAAACTGATGCAAATGTTAAATTGGGATTTCAGTGTAAGTATTTTCCATGAGTTAGTTTCAATTGTTACCTTAATTCTAAATTTATTTTTGTTGACACATTTAAACAATATGTTGCTTTTCAGACTCAGTCCTAATACAGTTGCCTTGTTTTCTCACTTTTTCAAGAAATGACTGCAGAATATGCTTGTACAAGAAAACAATTCAATAAGAAGCTGAGTGAATTTGGATTAATTCAGGTGAATAAGGAATTGTTTAATTTATTTGAGAAATGCTAAGGAATTTAACCTGCTTTGAGCAATATCAAATTGTAACAGTACTGGTTTAAAACATGACTTTATTATTAATATTGTAAATAAAATGAATTATTGCAAGTTTATTAAGAATATTGTATTAAATCATTTCTTGAAACTGGGAAGAAATTCTAATGTTATTTTTAATTTATGCAGAATATTTTAAAATAACTGATATTTTTAAATGAATCTTTCAGGATAAATTTGCCCTTATGGCTAAGAAAGCTTATGTAATGGAAAGCATGGCCTATCTCACTGCAGGAATGTTGGACAGGCCAGGAATCCCAGATTGTTCGGTTGAAGCTGCCATTGTTAAAGTAAGCTTTATTGAGATATTGGGATAAGGCTAGAAGTACCGTATTTCTCCTAATGTTCAAATACAAGAAATCTGTGATATATTTTCCCCTTTCTTTGTTTCACACTATTCCAGTTTTGTTTGGCTGCTTAAATGTTAGACCTTGTATTAAATTAGTTATCGTTTGGTGTGACTGCTCATCTGTAAGTCTTTGTACATCTAACTGAAATGAAAACAGTTGAATCCCAGAAACTAAGATTTGCCTACATCATAAGTTGATCATAAAACCCCAATGAGTCATCTATTTTAAAAAGATTCCCAAACGCAGGTAGGATTGTAAAAATTATCAATGAAATGTATTTCACAAATTAATGTAAATTTCAGGGGTGAAATCCTCCCAGTTCAGCCGAACTGGTAGGGACGATTGTCCTTGGTTCTGCGAACCAGTAGTAAAAAAAAAAAAAAAAACTTCTGAGGATTACGCGGCGCAACTGTGAACCACGCGATCATCAGAAGCTCCCCCCACTCCTACTTTTAAAGCATTTTTTCCTTCCTATTTTCCTGAACCAGCAGGAAAAAATGCTTTAAAAGTAGGAGTGGGGGGAGCTTCTGATGATCGCGTGGTTCACAGTTGCGCCGCGTAATCCTCAGAAGCTTTTTTTTTTTTTTTTACTACTGGTTCGCAAAACCAAGGAAAATCGCCCCTCCCAGTTCGGCTGAACTGGGGGGTTTTCCCCCCTGAAATTTACATTAATTTGTGAAATACATTTCATTGATAATTTTTACAATCCTACCTGCGTTTGGGAATCTTTTTAAAATAGATGACTCA